TGGTCATATGGTAGTTCTATTTTTAATTTTTTAAGGAACCTCCATACTGTTCTCCATAGTGGCTGTATCAATTTACATTCCCACCAACAGTGAAAGAGGGTACCCTTTTCTCCACACCCTCTCCAGCATTTATTGTTTGCAGATTTTTTGATGATGGCCATTCTGACCGGTGTGAGGTGATACCTCATTGTAGCTTTGATTTGCATTTCTCTGATAATTAGTGATGCTGAGCATCTTTTCATGTGTTTGTTGGCCATCTGTATGTCTTCTTTGGAGAAATATCTATTTAGGTCTTCCGCCCATTTTTTGATTGCATTGTTTGTTTTTTTGATATTGAGCTGCATGAGCTGCTTATATATCTTGAAGATTAACCCCTTGTCAGTTGCTTCGTTTGCAATGTTTTCTCCCGTTCTGAGGGTTGTCTTTTGGTGTTGTTTATGGTTTCCTTTGCTGTGCAAAAGCTTTTAAGTTTAATTAGGTCCCATTTGTTTATTTTCATTACTCTAGGAGGTTGGTCAAAAAAGATCTTGCTGTGATTTATGTCAGAGTGTTCTGCCTATGTTTTCCTCTAAGAGTTTTATAGTGTCCAGCCTTACTTTAGGTTTTTAATCCATTTTGAGTTTATTTTCGTGTATGGTGTTAGGGAGGTTCTAATTTCATTCTTTTACATGTAGCTGTCCAGTATTGAAGAGACAGTCTTTTCTTTTGTCTGTTCTTGTCTCCTTTGTCATAGATTAGGTGACCATAGGTGCGTGGGTTTATCTCTGGGCTTTCTATCCTGCTCCATTGTTCTATATTTCTGTTTTTGTGCCAGTCCATACTGTCTTGATGACTGTTGCTTTGTAGTGTAGTCTGAAGTCAGGGAGACTGATTCCTCCAGCTCCATTTTTCTTTCTCAAGATTGCTTTGGCTATTTGGGGTCTTTTGTGTTTCCATACAAATTGTATTCTAATTCTGTGAAAAATGCCATTGGTAATTTGATAGGGATTGCACAGGATCTGTAGATTGCTTTGGGTAGTACAGTCATTTTCACAATATTGATTCTTCCAATCCAAGAGCATGGTATATCTCTCCATTCCCATTTGTGTCATCTTTGATTTCTTTCATCAGTATCTATAGTTTTCTGAGTACAGGTCTTTTGCCTCCTTAGGTAGGTTTATTCCTAGGTAATTTATTCTTTTTGTTGCAATGGTAAGTGGGATTGTTTCCCTAATTTCTCTTTCTGATCTTTTGTTGCTAGTGTATAGGAATGCAAGAGATTTCTGTGCATTAATTCTGTATCCTGCAACTTTACCAAATTCATTCATTAGCTCTAGTAGTTTTCTGGTGGCATCTTTAGGATTTTCTATGTATAGTATCATGTCATCTGCAAACAGTGACAGTTTTACTTCTTCTTTTCCGATTTGGATTCCAAGGAACAGGAAAGTTTGACTCATAGTTCAGAGAAAAGGTAGTCAGTAGAAACTGACTCCAAGATGACTCAGATGTAACAATTAGCAAAGACTTTTTTTTTAAATTTAAGTACTGTTGATTTACAATGTTGTGTTATTCAGGTGTACAGTAAAGTGATATATATTCTTTTTCAGATTCTTTTCCATTATAGATTATTATAAGATATTGAATATAACTCCCTGAGCTATACTGTAAGTCCTTGTTTTTTATCTATTTTATATATAGTAGTGTGTATATGTTAATCACAAACTCCCAGTTTATCCCACCCCCTTTCCTTTCCCCTTTGGTAACCATAAGTTTGTTTTCTATGTCTGTGAGTCTATTTCTGTTTTGTAAATAAGTTCTTTGTATCATTTTTTTAAGATTCCACGTATAAGTGATATCATATTATATTTGTCTTTCTCTGACTTACTCCACTTAGGGTGATAAATTCTAGGTCCATCCATGTTTCTGCAAATGGCATTATTTCATTCTTTTTTATGGCTGAGTAATACTCCATTATATATATATATATACCACATCTTCTTTATTCATTCATCTGTTGATGGACATTTAGGTTGCTTCCATGTCTTGGCTATTGTAAATAGAGCTGCTATGAAATTTGGGGTGCATGTATCTTTCCAATTATGATTTTCTCTGGATATATGCTCAGGAGTTGGATCACTGAATCGTATGGTAACTCTATTTTTACTTCTTTAAGAAACTTCCATACCATTCTCCATCGTGGCTAGAAAAGAGTTTTAAACAGTTATTATACATATAGTAAGGACATGAAAAAGTATATGGTCAAAATAATGAATTAACAGAAAAACTCAGTAGAGGTATAGAAATTCTAAAAAGAGAGAGAGAGAGACAAATGGAAATTCTAGAACTGAAAAGTACAAAATTTGAAATAAAAAATTCACTGGGTAGTCCTAACAGCTATTTAGAAATGGCTGAAGGGTCGGTAAACTTAAAAACAGGTTAAAAGAAATTATCCAATCTGAAAAACAGAGATAAAAACTATTGAAAAAAATGGACAGAGCCCTACTAGCCTTCAAGACAATATTAAAGAGCCTAACATACATGTAATAGGAATCACAGAAAGAAAGGGAAGAGAGAATGGGGCAGACAATTTTTTGAAAAAATAATGACAGATTTCCCCAAATTTGGTAGAATACATAACTTTAAAAATGAATAAACCAGCAAAACCCAAGCAGGATATATAAAAAAAGAAATTCATACCACAAACATCATGGTCAAACTATTGAGAACCAGATAAAGAGAAAATCTTAAAGGCAGCTAGGGAAAAATGACATAGTAGAAATTGAGTGGGTGGGTAGAGGGACAGGATTCAGAAACAGCAAAAGCTAGAGGACAATGCAATCATATTTTTAAGAGTTAAACTGGGAGCAGGGGTAGGGGGCAACGTCAATCCAGAATTCTATATGCAGAGAAAATATTCTTTGAAAATGATAGTGAAAGATGACTTCAGAGAAACAAAAACTTAGAAGTTATGCATTACAAGAAATGCTTTTAAAAAATTATTCAGAGGGAAGGGAAATGATATTAAATGAAAATTCAGATCTATGGGAAGAAATAAAGGGCACTGGAAATGGTAAATATGTAGGTAAATAGAAAAGAATATACATTTTTAAAATTTCTTTAAAAGACGTAATTGTTTAAGGCAAAAATAGTTCACTGCATTTAAACATACGTGGGCCTAATGTATATGAAAGCAATCATGTAAAGGATGGAGGATAAATAGAACTACACTTCTGCAAGGTTCTTACATTTTACATCAGTTACTGCAATATGAGATCTACATGCATTGAGACACTTTAAGCATGAATATGCTAGAGTAAGCACTAAAAATTAATGTGAAGAAGTTTAGTGGAAGGTCAATAAAGGAATGAAGATGAAATATAAACAAATATTGATTAACCCAAATGAAAGCAGAAAAGGAGAAACAAAAGAACAAAAAAGGGATGAAACAAATAGAATACAAATTGCAAATAATAATAGACTTAGAATCCAATGATATTAATCTTATGTTAAATGTAAATATAGACTAAAAACTGGTCCGGGAACATCCCACATGCTGTGGAGCAACTAAGCCTGTGCACCACAACTACTGAGCCCGCGTGCCACAACTACTGAGGCCTGCGTGCCTAAAGCCCATGCTCCGCAACAGGACAAGCTACCACAATGAGAAGCCCATGCACTGCAACGAAGAGTAGCCCCTGCTCACCACAACTAGAGAAAGTCCGTGTGCAGCAATGAAGACCCCACGCAGCCAAAAATAAATAAATTAAAAATAGTGTATATGTGTCAATCGCAATCTCCCTAAAAATATATCTATATAATAATTTAAAAATAGTATCTAGAAAAGCCCCTGAATATTTGGAAATTAAACAACACACTTCAGAAAAGTGAGTCAAGGAAGAAACAATAAGGGAAATTTAAAACTACTCTGTACTGAATGAAAATGAAAGCACAACATATTAAAACTTGTGAAATGCAGATAATGCAGTGCTTAGAGGGAAATGCATAGCTTTAAATGCTTATGTGAAAAAAATAGAAAAGTCCAGAATCAGTAATGTAATCTTCTACTCTAATCAGCTAGAAGAGGAAATCAAATCCCAGTTAAGTAGGAAGAAGGAAATAATAAAGAACAAAAGTCAATAAACTAGAGAATAATCAATGGAACCATAGATGGCTTTTTGAAAAAATTTAAAATTTTTATAAACTTCTGACCATTTTAGTCAGTAGAAAAAAAAATAAAGAGAAAATGCAAAATACCAAAATCAGGGATGTTTGAAAAAATGACAAGGTCCTGGCTCTCGTGGACTCCTAGTGGGAGAAACATGTTACATGGTCATACAAAGAAATATACAGGTATAGATTGTGGTAAACTCTATGAGAATTCTGCAGGGGAGGGAGAGGCCGATTGGGGCTGGAGAGGGGCACCTCTGCAGAAGTTAACTTCGACCCCTCCGCAACGACGAGTAAAGTCAGCCCCTCTCGGCGTCTTCCCGGCCCCCAGGAAGCAAGTGGCCCGCGCGCCGCGCTCCCCACCCCCATCTCAGCCGCCCCGGCCCTTCCGCGCAGGCGCGGGATAGGCGCGAGGTGGGGCTTGGCCGGAGGCCGGGCGGGGCAACCGCTGGGCGGGCGCCGAGCGGGACCACACACTGGAGAGGTGCTTTCGGTCGGACCCAGCGGCGCCGGTTCCCCGCGATGCCGAGGCCAGATCCGGACGCCTCGCCTCTCTGAGTCGGTCTCAGCGCGGAAGGCACAGAGGGAGGCCATGGCGGAGCCCTCCGAGCCCGGGCGGCAGGCGTCCGCGGGCGGCGGGAGCCTGGAGGAGGAGGACGAGGAGGACGAGGAGCGGGAGCCGCTGCTGCCGCGGATCGCCTGGGCCCAGCCGCAGAAGGGCGCTCCGGGGGGCGCCGTGCGGCTGGAGAAGGCTGTCGGGGAGGAGGGCGCGGCCTCCCCTAACCAGGCCAGTGACCGGGAACTGCTGCTCCTGCCCAGGGATGCGTCTTTCTTCTCTTCCCTGAGTTTGGGGTGCCTGCGGAGCTCGCCCACCAACCTGGACCGGAACCGCCCCGTGGGTTCAGGTGCGATCCGGCTTTTCCCTTCCCCGGCGCCCTGCCAGTGCGCCTGTCGCCGCCGCCGCTCAGCCCCCCATTCAAGCCCCTCCTTGGGTCCCTACCCCCGGCTTCTTTCGCTGTCTCCCGCTAGCCCTTGCCTAGTAGGAAAGGCTCTTCGCCGGGCATCAGGTCCGGCGCACAGGCCGAGGGGTCAGCCGCTGGGCACACCTTGGACACCTCGCCTTTCTCTCCTGCTCCCCCGTTTACTTGCACCTTTTCCAGGGGCTATAGGCTGCTTCACCTGAGGCCCGGGGTTGTCATTAAACACTGATCCTTGAGGCCTCCCCTAAGAGTGAACCTAAACTTTTGGAATCAGACAAGAAAAGTTATCACTGTAAAATGACGTAAGTTGTTTGCTCAAGTTTGGACTTGAGTTTGGGGTTAAGAACCCTGAGCTACCAGGAAAGTTGGTGAATTTGCAAGGTGGATGACAGCCGAGAGATAGAGAGCAAGAATACCCGGTTGCCACTGGGACACGTTTCAAAAACTTTTAAAGTTAAATATTGTTACTGTAACATTAGCCAGAGGGCGCAGGAGCAGTTGAATTTCTGCACCTGCTCTCTCTCTTGCAAAGTTTCCTTCCTTGAGTCATTTCTATTTTTATACTTTAAAAAAAAAAAAGAAAAAAAAATTTTCACCGTTAAGCAGACTGACAGCCTCAGGTGAAAGAGAGGATAATTGAAATGATGTTGAAAGGTATGCGACTGCAGGCATTGGTATTTATTGATAAATCGAATTTTTTGCCATGATCGTGTCGAATAAGGCTAATTTGATAGTAAAATAGAATAGGTTTGTAAGAGTTCTAGGTAGAGCTGAGACAGGCTAGTTTGTAAAATGGCCATGATAACACCTACTTGCTGGTGGTAAGGATGGTTTAAATGATGAGATGTGTGCATTGTGCCTGGAGTTTCATTCCACATGTGAGCTTAAAGAAAAGGCACAGAAAATGTAGTTTTCATTAATGCTGCTTAAGTTTTTCTGGAGTGGTTAGATTTTACATGTCCTGCTATTAGTACAGTAATGGGGCTTCTACAGTTTAAAGAATTCTGGAGTAGGTTATTCTAGGTGTAGTTGAATTTATGGTCAAATATTCTAGAGTAAATAAATCAGAGCAGCCCAAGGGAAGCAGACTTTAATGAATAAAGCTTTAACAAATCTGTCTAATATGCAGATCGGCTAGCTACCATTATGTTAGCTTTTGGATGCATTGACAGTACAACATTTAACAGAACAAACAAATATGCATTTGCAATCAAATGACAAATTGATCTACATTCACCCAGCTACATTGATAATATGGGTATATATTACCTAGAAACCGGTCTGTGAAGTAACTAAGATTTGTGTGGCTAGCTTGCCTTTTTCTACCCAAAGTTACCTGTGTAGCTAGATTTTAAAAGAGCCTAAAACCTTAAAAATGCATTTATTCTATGAAGGTGAGGTTTTGTAAACAAATGATATTAAGGCTAGAGAAAGTCAAAGTGGAGATAGAGTATAATATTTGAATACAAATGGATTATTAAAGAGAATTCCAACCTTTTGAATGGCAGTAACTTACTTATATCACAGTTTACAGTTTGCTAAGATCTTTTTTTTTGTATATTTCATTAATTCTCACAATAGCACAGCAAGTTAGTTATTTACCCCCATCCTGAGTGTGAAGACTGAAAATGAATGAAAACTGTAATAACTAGTAGTTGATAGAACTTCAGAGGTAAGCCAAGGTCAAGGTCCAGGAAGTGGAAAAGCCAGACTGAACCTAGTTTTTTCATGTCCTACAGTTTTTCCATTTTGCTGTAGATCCCCAAGTGTTATAAAATAATTGTTAACTTTTGTTTACTTATTATGGAGGTCTTATTTTTAATGGATTTAAAAACAGTTTTGAACTGTAAAAACTATTTTTAAAATTTCAAACCATTCTCCTAGAAAGTTCATGATTAGTTTAACTAGATGATTAAGTTTAGTTATTTTTTGAGTCCATTAACTTGCTTTGTCCTTTACCATCCAATTTCCATGAAGCCACCTCTCTAGTTCCAAGATATTCTTGCCTTTAGATTAATATTAACATCATTTATGATGCTTAACTATTTTATGTAAACAGGAGCTTTATGTACTTTACCCAGTGGAAGAATGTCATATGTCTGTTATCTTTACTTGAACAAGACATGTGACAAAGTCTAGAATCAGCATAAACGTAGTGTTGTTGGATCAATGTCAAAAGGGTTAGTGGCATTCCTTGTTCCAGTTGTCATTTTAATCAGTGAGTTGAAGAGTAGTAAAGATGATAATAGTTAATACCCACAAAACAGTTAGTATGTGCAGAGGGCATAGTTCTATGTGCTTCACATATATTAATTTATAACGAACCCTATGATGTGAGCACTATTTTTTATTTATTTTCATTTTAAGGAAGCACAGAGAGGTGAAGTGAAGGTCCCAGTTAATAAAAACCAGAGGCACTTATCAATTTTGTTGGAGAGCCTGGCAATTAGAGAATGGTGTTAGAATTCGCAAAGAGCTTCTAAAGTAAAAGAAAGTGTGTGTTTATAAGCCATTTAATGATTCATGGTGGCTTATAAATGTATGAACAAAATAAAATCATTTAAAAGTAAGGAAGAAATATGAGAATGGGAAATAAGAACAGTGAAATAAATAAGATGGGGGCCGGAATAAGAGTACACAAAATTAACATCACACACTCGATACAGGCAGCCCACAAATTTGATATTTAAGATTACTGAGCAGCCAACTTGAGAGAAACACAATCACTCTGTCCATAAAGTTAAAACAGACTAGTTATTTGAACCAAAACAAAACTGGCAAAGGATAAACTGTCATGTATTCTCTTGGAGAAGAGATTATATGCTGAGTAATATCTTGGTAATAAAAGTGATGACTTTCATAGGAGTGTTTCTTACAACTTCCCTGAAGTTCATTTCAGTAGAAGTAATTCTAGTGGGTGGTGTTATCAGTATTGCTGGGTCTAGATTCAAGATGCTGATAGTCTGGCTTAATTTAGAGGAAGGTATTAGAAGAGTGGATATCCCATGGATCTTGACAATCCTCCAAAGCTGAACTTTTGAAAGGTAGTGAGCAGCAGTGTGTTGGAGATTATTCCTCAACCAATAATTAGAATACACTTATTCTTGTTTTCCATTTATTGCAGAGATCCATCATTCAGCAAATGTTTCAGTGTCTGTGGGGTGCCAATGGAAATTGAGGCCTTGGGGAAACAGTGGTGGCCAGATACCAAGTGGATGTCCAGTCACGAGCCTTGTCCCCATGCAACCTTATAACCTAATGAAGGAAAGAGTCAATTAAAACAAACAGTTCTAACAGAGGATATATGTGCTTGGATGGGGAAAGCCAAGGCTTCCATAGAGCCATACCCTGGATTTAGGGGCCAGGGAAGATTTAGCAGAGAAAGTAGCATCCAATTTGAGACTTGAGGATGAATAGCACTGGAACCCCTGAGGGTTCCCGATTGGGTCAGATCCCCAGACTTGTGAGCCAGCTACTTTTCTTTTTAGAAAATATTCTGGCCAATGGGTAAAGATATATTCCCAACCCTTAAGGGAGGAAGAGTTCACTTTGATTTATTTATTTAAAATGAGAGCTTGATAAGTTACCATGCACACTTATATAAAACTAAATATAAGAGGTTATACAAGGGGTTCTCTTAATCCATTTTCAATTTCTGCTTATCAGAGGATCAGCTGTAACCCTTAAGTGTGGTTAAGGGTTTGTTAATAAATAATTCGCAAGTTTATTGAGGGTTTACCATGTGCCAGGTACAGTTTTAAGCACTTGGCATATATCACAGGACAAAACAAAGCTCTCTGCCCTCCTGGAACATAGATCATTTTGTTATAGCATTGCAAGGTGATCAGATGAAGTCGAAGGATGGATAAAATTAGCCATAGAAAGGAAACTTGGCATATACATCAGAACAGCATGGACAAAGGTTCAGAGGGTGGGCTGGGTGCCTTGTGAAAAGTGTGGAGTTTGAATAGGACTGGAACTTGACTAGAAGGCCACTGCTTCTTGGAGGAGTGCCAAAGAGAGTATACAGAGATAGAACTCACATGCTCCTCAGAAAATTGGAATATTTTTTGATACAGGGACAAATAAAAATCTCATAGTTTATTTCTTAAAAGGGAGAAAGTAATTTTAACTGAACAAAATTTAAAGAAGATATAGCTAATTAAGCCCTCAGCTATTAAAAATCAAACCAAACAATGACAACAAACCTTCAAACCAAATCTCCATGGCACATTTATCTTGAAGTGTAACTTTAGGGTGTGTTCTCCAAGTTAAACTCATTGCTAAATACACATTTAGGTAAATAAAATGAAGAAAGTTGTAGAATGTAATTGTGAGTTATGAATCAGAAAAATTACTAAAAAATAATTACTTTGATTTGGGCTTCCCTGGTGGCGCAGTGCTTGAGAGTCCGCCTGCCGATGCGGGAGGCGCGGGTTCGTGCCCCGGTCCGGGAAGATCCCACATGCCGCGGAGCGGCTGGGCCCGTGAGCCATGGCCGCTGAGCCTGCGCGTCCGGAGCCTGTGC